AGGATGAATCAGTCACTTTTGCAGCCCATCTGTCTCTGTTTGGAGGGGCCCCACGCTGAATTTCTTCCTGGCACTCTGAGGTTTCGTGCTCTGCTTAGCTGCACTGCATGAGCTCTCCTTCTACCCTGGAGCAGGGACTAATAATTAGCAGCTTGAAGTAATCACAGCTCAGAAGAGAAAAGCAGATAGGTTTTGATTGTCCTGGAAATCAAGTGGCCTCTCTGGCCTGGGACAGGCAAATTAGTGAGCCAGAGGGAAGGAGTGGCAAGGGACAGATTTCAAGCATCCCTATGCCCCAGGATGGAGTGGGGCTGAGATATCTGAGCATTGAGTTCCCAGGGACATCATCCAAGCTTAGGGAAGAAATGTCCCCTATGGGCTGGTGAAGCATAGAAATGCCGCCTGACTCAAGTTGTCCCCAGGATGCTTGAGGGCAGCATTCTAGATGCTCTGCTATATGTACACATCTTCCTGAGGGGTTTGCTCTTGTCCCTTTTGTGCTCTCTCCTTGCTCATTCAGGAGAGAGGAGGGACACTTGCTCACAGGGGGAAGCAGCATCATCAGAGCAGCTTCTTACTCAATGCTGCTGTTGAAATCATCCTGCAGATCCCCAGGGAAGGCTGCATGGGCTGATGGACTGTGGTAGGAGTACTGGCAGCTTTGCTGCTAGTTGCATTCACCACAGCCAGGGTTTGTCCATCATGGGCTGGGGCCTTGTGTCCTCTCCAGGAAGGGATTTCTGCCTCCCTGCTCAGCTGGGGCTTGTGGCAGTGCTGGAGCTCAGCACTGAGGTGCTGGACCATTGTGCTTCCTGAGGAAGATCAGTCCCCACAAGCCAACACAGCATTAAGCCTTTCTGCTTTATCTCTGGGGGTTTGGTGAGGGTTATTCAGATAATGGAAGAAAAGAGCTCACCCAGCGTCTTAAGTGCTCAGTGTAGTTATTACGGTAATACATAGTTACTTGTCTAAAGACTTGATTACTGCCATTGTAACACAAACACATACACTGAGAAGACCCCTGAAAGGAATTTCCTCTTTGTAGGTCAGCCATGCTGCTGGGAACCTGCTTCTCAGTGCAGCTCTTTATTAGTTAATCAGCTACTAGAAGTTAAAAATGAAGTATGGTGTGGGAGCCCAGGGTCTCCTGCCTGCAGAGGCTGTGTGCCTTGGTTGTGGTATGTGGTTTCGGTTGAGATAATGGGGTTGAGTCACTTCTCAGTGTGTGGTTGTCTCTTGAAGATGCTGCAGAGGACCTGTGTGTGTCTCCTCTTCCATCACTTGTCCTCTGGTGCAGATGTCTTGAAAATGCTGTTCTCAGTGGTTTGTGGGCTGGGGTGCTGCTCTGGGTTGTGTCCTCTTTCAGCCCATGTTGCCAAGGGGCAAGAGATGCTCACTGCACTGTTTGGCTGTGATAAGACCAGTGTGGGAGGGGATGATGGATGGATGCTTGGTGCAGTCTCTCTAATGAGATCCCCAATAGACAGAGTGAGCTCTGGCTGTGCATTGGCACAGCTGGGTGTTCTGTGTCCTCAGATGTGCCCTGGGTTCTGCTGGAAGCTGTATGCTGCTCCCAGCCACCATGCAGGTGAAAGCACAAGTGCCAATGATTTCACAGTTAAATATCCACTCTCTAATTCAGTTTGGCTGCTCATGGTGCCCTGTGGCCATAGTTTTATCTGGATGACTTCTCTGCTGCAGGAGTAAACGGTAAATTTCCTGACTGTTACTACTTTTGGACTGAAATTTTGGAGGTAAGAGCCTCTAGAAACTTCATTTTCTGGTTTTGAAAGCCTGCTATGTGTCACAACAGCAGTTGTTTCTCAGCTCTCCTGTATCAAAGCATAGCATTGCTCTGCAGTAACATCCTCTGCTCCTGCAGAAGTTGGGTGAGTAGAGGGGCAGTGGGGACTGCCCAGAGCCCTGTGTGGGTCTATGCCATGTTCTTACCACATCCTGATCATGCAACCAGGGATATGGATAGCGAGCATCAGCCTGAGTCACCGGTGGGGAACCTCGTAGGGGGTGTGTGGGGTGTCGGGCAGGTGGATATACTGTTTTCTCTTTGGTTTTTTAAGTTTTTGTCATGAACAAGCTGCAAAGACACCTTCTGTCTGGCTGTTAACAGGGAGCTGTGTGGCAACCTGGGTTCATTCCCGTGCAAAGGTTGATCTGCAGCTGGAGGGGTTCAGAGGCAAGGGTATGCACCCTAGTTGTATGTTACTAAGCAAACCTGGGGTGGAGATAGGCCTGCTGGCTGGCTCTGTGGTCCCAGCTCTGGTCATGACCCATTCCCAAGCTGTGGGAAAATAATTCCGTATTTTTAAAGCCAGCCATGTGTTGGCTTGCTGTAGGTTTTTGCCCTTTGCAGGAGGCAGGGCTGGCAATGAAACAGCAAAACCAGGCAAATGTGGTGTTTTTACCAATAATTCAGATTTTGTGTAAAAATGTAGCAGGTTTGTTTTCAGTGTAAGGGGGAGACCAAAGGCTAGAAGATGGGCAGACACCCTGATGTCAGATGCTTTGTACGTGGCGCCTTGCATCCTGTGAGCGCTCTAGTTAGCACATAGCCTCATCAGCTTTCCTTAACAAAATGTTCTGGCATCCTCCCGTCTCTGCTTGTCACTTCTCTGGAGGGAACGTGGCTTGTTCTGTTGGCAGTGTAAGCCTTGTTTGCTTAGGTGGAAGCAGAGCTAATGATTTCTATTTATTTCCTCAAACTTTCTTGGGGTTTCATTTAAGGGCTCTGCTTGAGCTTCTTCATTTGCCTCCAAGCCTGTGAACCGCCGGTGTCCCTGGAGCAAGCCTGGTGGGAGATATGTTGGTAGGCATCAGAAGAGACAGTGTCCGCATGTATGCTGAAGCTGCTCTTGGGATGTGTCCTTATTTGCACTGAGATAATTGTCCTTGGGGCTATGCTGTGGCTGAAACCCAGAGTGCTTGTGCTTGGTATACAAGAAAGGCTCCAGTCCTCCCCAAGGAAATGCTCAGGGAAGAAACAGGGCTGCAGAATGGCTGTTAAAAAAACCCCAAAACAAACCAACAAAACAAACTCAAACCAAACCCAACCCAAACCAACAATCACCACCAAAAAACCCCAACCACCCAAACCCACCACCCACAAAAAAAAAAACAACCCAAAATGCAAAATCAAAAAATGCCCAAACCCCAAAAGGAAAACTGATGTGGCTGAATGAGGAGTTAAACGTTAGCAGGGGAGCATTGAAAATGAGCAAAGCAATATGAAAAGGCAGAAGTTGGAAAAATAATACATTATAAAGAACTGATTGAAAAAGTGATTAATGCTCTAAAAAACAAACCTCACATGGGTAAGTAAAGTAGTGAAGAATCTGTTCATAGCTTTCAGTGGGAGCAGCCAAACTCTTGTCAATGTGCTAATTAACTTGCCGAGGCTCTTACTGGCAGTTGCCTTTTTCTTTCTGGAGACCTTGCTAAGGCGTGAGTATCCCTTGGGTTGGTCAGGTTGAAATTCAGGGGCAACTTTAAGCACTTCATATTTGTCGTGCAACACCACAGACTCGAAGGAGGTGGGATGCTTCCATGGCTGGGCTGTGCCCCTCTTCCTCTGTGGCATGGGGATGTCAGGCTTATTTTGGCTCACATGGGGGCCATGCTCTGTTTCATCCCCTCAGTTACTCTTCATGTTTATTTGTTTCCTGTATGTAAGTTACTTTTTACACCTGGTGTGGTGATTTCCTAGCCTTTCTCCTGACTGCCATTCTCACCTCCCTGCTTGTTCTGGAGGAGGAGTTCAGGTGTCTCCGAACACCCTGTGGAGGGGTTAAGATGAGGGATCCGCTCAATTTGTTACATTATTATGTACCTCATGGGGGTTAAGCTCTCTTTTCCCTTGCTGGGTTGTTTCCTCCCGTGTCAGGGTTGTGGTTAGGAAGGGCATGACAGCCTTGGTGTGAAGCACCTGCTGCCTTGCTCTTTTCCATCATCCCCTCTTTCACCTCCATTGTGGATAAGCACTGGGGGAGGAATTTGAAGAACTGGTGGAGTGAAGCCCTTCCCATAGCAGTAGCATGCTGAATGACACCTCTCTGACATGAGAATAAAGCATTTCACCATGACAAGGCTTTGGGTGTATTCTCAGATACAAGCATCTCATGTCTGTTTTGCTTAGCCAAGGAGCGTTGCTCTAAGCGGTGTTGCTGGCAGCGTTCCTGTGCCTTTTGCTCCCATGTGCAGCTCTTGAGTCAAAGCCACACTGGTATTTTCATACCCAGCCCCCTAAGCTGCTGCCTGCCCATCATCCCACCCGCGTGGGGTTGGACAGGGGAGGTGGACCCTCCAGCCACGGATGCTCCAAAGCTGTGTCCCCCCCGGGATGCAGCTTCCAAGGGCACTGCACCCTCTGCTGGCATGCGTGCCCCTTGCACGGCCCCTGCCAGCACAGGCAGCCGAGAGCCGGCAGCACTGGATTCCTGGTGGATGCATGGCTGCCTGCTGGGCTGGATGGGAAGAGCCCTGCTCTGTGTTACAGGTTGTGTTTCCAGCAGGGCTGTGCCATGCCAGTCCCTTTAATCCCTCCCAACCCTTCACAGAAGCAAAAAAAAAACCCCAACAACCAGCAGAGAAAAAAACCCCAAGCAACCAAAAGCAGCACAAGGGTGGTTTGACCCAGGCCTCCTGAGTCTCCTCTTTTCCCATCTAGCTCATTACATTCTGGTCTGGCTGCAGGGAGCTGTGCTGCTCTGGTGTCCCCAGGGAGGACAGGCTGCAGTGTCAGAGAGCTGCAGGTTCAAGAGGTGAAGAGCACCCAGATTGGGAAGGAGGAAGAAAACAGTAAGATAGGAGGTGCTGTGCCATGCCCTAGCCTTGGGGATGCAGTATTGTGCATCCTGTGCCTGGTTTGAGAGCCCAACAAACCCAGGATAAATGGGACTTCCAGCTGATGTGGGAGGAAGGGAGGGAATTGGGGGGCAAATGGAGCAAAGCCCTGAGCTTCCCTTCTCTGTCTTGTGCCCCTCCAGAGTGATGAGCTACAACAGCAACAGCACCAAAGATGCTGGGATTCGGCACATGCTCCGTCAGCGCCCCAGCGCCGGGCAGGGGGGCTGAGCTGGACACTGCCTCCCCCCGCTACATCCTGGCCCTGCCCGAGGAGGAGACATGGCACAAGCACCGGCTCGGCCTGATGCAAACCACCCAGTCCTGCAACCTGCTGGAGCCCGAGAGCCTGGCCGAGGCCCTGGTCTCACGCGCCGCCAGCTTCGATGCCCTCTATGACCCCCGGTCCCGGGATGCTGATGCCGGCACAGAGACTGGCAGCACCTTCGACCTGGGGCTCGGCCAGTATGTCCCCGTGAGCCCGGATGTGATCAAGCGCCGACGGGGTGGGTTGATTGAGCAGAGGGACATTATCAAGGCGCATGAGGCGCACAAGATGCAGAGCACGCCGCAGGCGCGGAGGAAGGAGTGGGAGTAAGTACTGGAGAGCCCCCAGCCCAGGTGGGCAGCCGGGGGGAGTGGGAGCGTTGCCTGTCCTCCATGGGGCTGGTGGACGTGGTTGGGGGGTGTCATGTCAGCATCACCCCTGTGGAGCAGCCAGCTCAGCAGTGCTCGATCTCCTGGCACTCTCAAGCTGGGCTGCTTTTCCCCATTGCCTTTGTTATCCAGGGAGGAGTTTTAGAGGCAAGGAAAAACTTGAGACACAGGGAATGAGTTTTTCTTTTAATTTGGGGGGTTTGGTTGGTTGGGGTTTTTCCCCTCTACCCAGCTAAAACTCTTCTGGGTCCTTTCTTCTCCCTGTGCTCTTAAAACTGATGGGATGTGTGGTCCTGCCTCCAGTGCTGGGAGCTCATGCAGCACACATCATGCCCTGTGGCTGAAAGCATCACACAGGACCTGCATGGATTGGGCTGGTCTGAGCCAGCTGGAGCACGGTGTTTTGCTGATAGGGTGATTTTGTGGAGTGTGGAGAGAGAGAGAGTTTCATGCTATGTATGGGAGGTGAGTGTTTATCAGCTGAAGTGGTTGGAGATGCCTCTCTTGACTCTGAGCTGGAAGGTGGCATTTGATGGGAATGGTGCAAAGGGGCCTCTGGATGAGGAGTTTCACCAAATTGTGCAGGAGTTAGTGGGACATAGAGGAAATTTGGAAGTCCTCAAGACAGTTTTGCTTGGCTGCAGTGGGGCTTTCGGATGTGTTTGGGGTCTCTGCCTTCTGCATTTACTGTGGCTTCAGCCCTGCCATGAATGGATTTGTATTTAATTCTAAGAGGCCAAGTACCCCTGAATCAGGGCAAGCTGGAGACACTAATGCACTTGGGAAAACAGAAGTACTTGGCAGGGCTAGAACCCACTCGGTTTACTTATTAATTTATTTTAATTAACTTCATTCTGTAGTTTGCCTTGGTGCTGTGAGAAAAGCCAGCTCCAAGTCATCTAATGCGAATGCCCCATCCCTGGAAGTGTTCAGGCCACTGCTCAAGTGTTTGGGCACCCAGGTCTAGTGGAAGGCGTCCTTGCCTGTGGGAAGGGGGTCGGAAGAAGATGATCTTTAAGGTTCCTTCCAACCTAAACCATTCTGTGATTCTACAAAGCCCTGGATTATTCTCCCCTGCCCGACATTCATTTTGCAACTAAGACTGCAGCCATGTGCTTCAATCCTGCATTTAGATTCCATGGTTCCCCCCCTTGTGTCTATTCAGCAGAACTGCCTGGGCTAAGCTGCTGCAGCACATCCTGCTCCAGTATCACTGGTCTGGAGCAACCTGCCTCGGACACTGTATTTTGGAAATATTCAGTGTATTATAAAACACCTGAAGAAGGTGGGAGCCCCTGTATTAACTAGATGTGGCATGTTGCTTTGGTGAGATCCAGGTCAGTGTTCCACTTGTTTGAAGCTGGTAGGAATTTTTGGGATGCCTTGCATGATGAAACTGCTTGTTGTAACACTGAGGCTGCTCCTGCCCTTTTCTGGAGGGCAGCGCATCAGTGAAGCTGGCTTTCCCCAGCCCTTTCAGCTCAGTGCTCATCCCTTTGTGCCTAGGGAACCTCCTGGCTGGTGATTCAGGGAGCCTCGCACAGGGGAAATAAATTGACATATGGGCTCAGCAAGTGCTCTGTGCCTTGTTATCTTTCCTGACCCACCAGGGATGCCAGATGAATAAATCATGGCCGGGCAGGAAGCAGAGGGATGGCCTCGTTAATTGTCGGCTGGCAGAGAGAGGTCCTAGAACGGCTGCTTGCTAATTAACTGCTTGGATGACTACAGCTCTATTTTGTGGCAGGGAGATGAAGCCGGAGCCCTTCCTGCTCATACTGTGTAGGATGTGCCCCTTTTGCCACCCTCATCTGCTCCAGCTAGCAGTAATTCAAACACAAAGCCTAATATTTCTGTCTTTAACGCAGTGGGAATATGCAGATGGCCATGCCGGCTGCTGCCATCCCAACCTGTTTCCCCAGGCTGGTAGGGTCCAATCTTTGCATTTCTCAGTTTCCGAATGCCTGGTTCGGGCATTTCAGCTCACTCTACGACAGTTCTGTGGGTCTGCATAGGAAGTCATGTCTAAGGCAGGTATCCCTGAAATTGGGATGGGCTGCACCCCTTTACCTGCCCGGGCTCATCACTGTTGGGGTCTAGGCATGGGGCTCTCTCCTTGCAGACATACAAGCCCACAGCCTTGTTGCCATGCTGCAGGAGGTAGAGATGCTGGCAGTTTGCAGGAGGCCCCCATTGCTGGGGAGAAGCTGGGTTCTAGCCCTTGGGCTTTGCAGACCTTGTGTCTCTGAGGACCAAAGAGCCCCACTGCCTGTTGCTGCCAGGTCCCTTTCTGGGGGGCTGGCAGTATTGGCACAGCAGGCTGAGCCCCAGAGGGCTGTATTTGTGTCTGTCCCAGAGTTAGGTGCCCTGGTACCCCATTAGTCTGCAAAACTCACGTGCTGAGGCTCCTGCTTTAACAGCAGGCTCATCAAACAGTGACATTTCTCCCAGAACTGTGCCAAAGTCCAGGCCAGTGTGCAGAGCCAATAACCCTAGTTCCATGGATGCTCCCTGGGAGTAGCTGGATAACATGTAGGGGAGAAAAAAGCAAATTCATTTCCATATGTATAATTTTATTAGTAATAATTAAATTTCCCCATGATTTAATTTTCAGACGGGCCCATATTGTATGCTGTCAACCACCTTAGCGGCTTTTGCCCTTGAGGTCTGGCTCTATCCCTTTTGGTGAGCAGTGACAGTAGTATTTTTCCATGCCCCAGTGTGGTGGTGGACATTAAATGGAATATGGGGAACCTGTAAAATGGGTTTTCTGCTTGGTTTTGAGCCGTTGTATCAGACCTTGAGGGATGGCCTGTGGGCTCAGGGCAGCCCCACAATAACTGATGGCTTTTTTGTTGTTGTTTTCTTTTTTCTCCTGGGTTGTTGGTTTCTTTTCCCCCTCCTTGTTGCCAAAACTTGATGAGTTACATCACGGTACTCCTGGGGAGTTACTGGTTAAACATAGTGCTGAATGATGGCTATCTTGCAGGACTGAACTGCTGCATAAGAGACCTCTGTTCCCCTGGAGTAGTTTTGTCCTTGCAGATGCAGATTCCTGGTGTGCAGCCAGAGGTTTTGTGTGCAGCTGCACTTCTGCTGGGTTGCAGTGGGGGAAGATAAGTGAATGCTTTTTCTTACTTGCCAGTGTTAACATCAGCAGGTCTGACCCTTACTGAGCCTCCATCTCTGCTGCCTTTTACCAGTGAAAAGAGAGCACAAGTAAAATGTGCTTTATCCTTACTACAGTGGAACAAAAAGAGGAGAGGGGAAAATGCTTCTTTCCCTGTTCTTTATTTTAGGGGAAACTGAGGCAGGGAGCAGAAAGCACCATCTGCTAAGTGCATGTGGGACAGTGGCTCTGTGTGAGGCCTGACTTTATGGTGAGGGGTGTGTGTACCAGCACACCTTGTTCTTGACTAAGGGACTTAAGCCCAAGGCAGACACTAAAACCTGTTTTCCAGAGTGCTGGCCTGATGTCCTTCCATCCCACTGTTCACACACTGGGGTCAGTGGTGGAGGTATATGGAGGTATCTGCTGCACTACAAGGTTTGGTGTGCTGGGGCAGCGAGGAGTGGTCATAGTTGAATCACTGGTGTCTTTGCCACATACACGTGGCAGCATCATTTCTACTACATCAGACTGAGAGAGTGCAAAAGAAAAGCTCCTTGTCAAAATAGGCAAACAGGGAACCTCCTGTGGCTTCTGCGGGCTGAGCAGCTGATGCCTTAGCTGATGGTAGGGACAGGCAGAACCACCCAGGGAGCATCCCAGAAAAGGCTCAAGCTGAGTTTGCAGCAGGCAGGACCCAAACTTGCCTTGCATGGCTTAAAACCATGTGTGCATGGATATTTGTTGAGTTTAGCTTGTGCAATCTGGGGAATGACAGCTGTGCCCTCATTTTGGAGTATCTACAGCAAGGATGCATGGAAAATCTGGATTCCCAAATGTTGGACAGGGATTGAGGGAGCAGAGAATACCAGACAGAAAGTAGCTGGATCTTGGTGCTTTGTGGAGGTGGGATGCTGTAATTCAGTGTTGGAGTACCTGGGTGATGGGTGGCAGGTTTCAGTGTCCTGCGGCAAGCAATGCGCTCTGCCCACAGTACAGGACAGTGCTCCTACAGGTCATTAAAAGTGATCTGTCTTGTAGTGTCTTGGAGTTAATGGCTTTAATGCTATGATTTTGCTAGGACTCCCTTGTGCAGTGTGATCTGCAGTGAGGTCCCTTTAGCCCATTCGGGAGCCTGTGGTCCATGGAGTGTCAGGACAGGAGAGCTTTCTACTGCTTGTTCGGATCTGTACCTACAATACAGACCATGGGGAGCCTTTTGGGCTGAAGCATAACATCACTGCAGCTCTGCCTTGATGCGGCTGTATTGGAAGAAGTAAGAGAACAGAAGAAACTGAAAACGCACAGGGTGTTGCTAACAGATCTTTGGCTTTTCCCAGCTTGGCAGTCTGTCTGGTTATGTGCACACTGTGCACCCCAGATTACAAATGAAGCTGACTTTGTTTTAATGATTTGTATTTTCCTTGGTGCTGACTGAGACAAAGCCCCCCCTTGGTGTGTGCTGTGCTGCCAGCTCCATCGCTGCTTCCCTGCATATTCCCCAAGTGCATCTGGGTTTGATTGACTGCAGAGATGGAGAGGGCAGAGCACACGTGGAATGGCGCTGCCTCTTTTGCCCCTCATGCTGGTGAGGCTGCCTGGGAAATTCCCCCAGGCTGAGGCTGCTTTGACAGCAGCAGCCCTGGTTGGACCAGTGGTCATCACGTTAGCCCTCCTCAGGTCTGCAGGGAAGGAACAAGCCCCAGGCTGGCTCTGAGTTGCTGTTACTGGTGTTGGTAGCTCTGCAGCACAGTTTTGGGAGAGGTGTTGAGTTAGTGGGTATTGCTGCTATGCTGTAAACAGCAGCCCTGCTCCCTACCCTGTGCAG